ACACTGCCCTCTTACCTCATTCTGAATGATGTGTTGTTCCGAGTAAAAGATGGCTCATATGACATGATATTGATAAATAAAGGGGTAAATTGTTTGGCAACTCAGTTTGCTTTGAGTCTTATAAGAAAAGAAAAAGACATTTTTTCATTTCTCCCTCCCTCTTTCTGTTCCTTCCTTTGCTTCTTGTATTCATTCATTCATTCAGTTGTATCTCTGAGCCCTCACCCTATATCAAACACTATGTTAGAAATTAGAGATATAAAGGTGAACAAGACAGATCAGACTTCACCCTTCAAGAGGCTCACATTCCACTAGGATGTGACAGAAGGAAGTTAATGTTACTGGAATAAAGCAGACATACTGGCTAATGGAATAGCATAAAGAGCCCAGAAATAAGCCCATGAATTTATGGTCAATTGCTTTTTGACAAAAGTTACAAGAACACACAATGGAGAAATGATAGTCTTTTCAATAAATAGTGTTAGTGAAACTGGACAGCCAAGACGGGAAGAAAGAATAAAGCTGGATTCTTACACCATATATAAAAATCTACTCTAAATTGACAAAAGGTTTGAGCCTAAGACCTGAAACTATAAAAGTACTAGAAGAAAACAAGGGTAAAGTGCTTCATAGCATTTGTCTGGGCAAATGTTTCTTGGATATGACTCCAAAAGCACAGCCAACAAAAGCAAAAATTAACCAATAGGATTGCACCAAACCAAGAATCTTCTGCATAGGAAAGGAAGCAGTAAACAGAGTGAACAGACGACCCACTGAATAACTGCAAAACGTATCTCAGATAAGGGGCTAATATTCAAAATAAATAAGGAACTCAACCAATTAAATAGAAAACAAAAACAAAGAATACAACCAAAAAATGGGTAAAATACCTAATTAAAAGTCCTCAAAACAAGACATGAAAATGGTCAACAGATAAATAAAAAATGTTTATCATCAATAATCATCACAGAAATCAAACTAAAACCACAAGGAGATACCATCTCATCCCATTGCAATGGCTATGATCAAAAACTAAAAGAGAAATGTTGGTAAGAGGGTGGAGGAAAGGAAACCCTTATATACTGTTGTTGAGGATGTAAGTGAGTGCAGCCAATATGGAAAACAGTGGGGAAGTTCCTTAGAAAACTGAAAATAGAATTGGTATATGATCAAGCGATCTCACTACTGGGTATATTTCCAAAGGAATTCCTTACATCAAAGAGACATCTGCATCCTCATATTCATTGCAGCATTATTTACAATACCTAAGTAATGGAAGCAACCTAGATGTCATCATTTGATGAATGGAGAGAGAAAATGTAGTATGTATACACAGTGGAATACMAGCCTGCCTTTTAAAAAGTGTGAGACTCTGGGACTGTCACCAAAAAAATGAATTTGTAGAAATAGAATAGAACAGATTGATATTTGCCAGAGGCTGGGTGGAAGGGGAAAAGGTAGATGTTGATCATACGATGTAAAATTTCATGCAAGAGAACTAAGATTTAGTGATCTATTGCACAGATCGGTGACTGCAATAATTTATAATGCTTTGTGTATTTTAAAATCACTAAAAAAGTGGCTTTTAAATATTTTTACCACAAAAAAAACACGTATTTGAGTTGATAAAGTTGTTGGTTAGCTTGAATTAATCAGTCCACATCACTGATTATAAATATATATCATTATTGATATGATTGGTATTGTTAACATATATCAAAACATTACATTGTACCTCATAGATACAAATAATTTTGGCTTGTCAATTAACAAAAATAATAAATTTAATTATAATTCATGTAATTGTTATGAATTAAATAGGAAAACATGTCAAAGAGTAAGTAATACTAATGGGGACTTCTTTAATAGAATAATTTAAGAAAGCTGAAACTTGAAGAATAAGAATGAACTGGTCATTTGGAAATCTGGAGAATGGACATATCAAGCCATGGGTCTGGCAAGAGCAATGGAACTTGAAGACAGGGTCAGGTTCCAAGTAATGGAGAAGTGGTTGGTCCTGGGATGTAGCATGTGCCCCACCATSTAGAGGCCTTTGTTGCAACTCAGATTTCTAATCCCAGCCTCAGTCAGGAGGCCTGGGTGGGGCCTGAACATGTGCTCTTGTCACAAGCTTCCAGGTGATGTAGATGTGGTAACCCCTGAGCACCAATGTGCTAGAGAGGAACCAAAATGAGAAAGGGTTGACAGTGTGCTATGAGCTGGGAGCAGGTAGTAACAAGCAAGGCAGGGACCTATGACCACAAGCTTCAAAGAGGTATGTGGTTAATCCCAGAATGACAAGAAGTCATTGAAGGTCCTGATCATCCCCATGATATCCTTCTTGTTCTCGGGTGGTTACAGTACAGTCAGTCTTGGAGGATTGTCTGAATCTCTATGTTGTCCACCCCTGAGTATATCTGGGAACAAATTTGGAGGAATTTGGAAATAACCTATCATTCCCTCTATATTTGATTTCTGACCAATCTYTGACAAATGATAAAGACTTGCTTCTGCTTCTACATTTAGGTTTTGGAAGTATGACATAAGGGCTATCAGGGATGGCTACAGTTCTGATCAGCCACACATGAACTGAAACACTTGTCTCTGATTCTGCACAGTTCACTTAGTGCAGAAAGATCTAAGCAAAGCATATTACATGATTTCTAAGAGCAAACTGCAAACTTTTGGTGATAAACAGTAAAAACATGAAACAATTAGAGGATTATCTAAGCAGAGGATGGTGCAATGTGTAATAAAGGGCTAAATTGAACATTATCATATGCAAAACTTAATGATGCAGATAATAAGTGCTGTGACCATTAAGAAGGGGGAGTTTGAAGTTACTTGGGAATGTTTTTTTCTGGGGCAGGTACTTAGGCTGGTTCTTAGAAAATGGTTCAAATATGGCAGTTAGAGGGGAGGGAAGAGGTTTGGAAAAGCCTTTGTCTTCAATCAACATGCAAAGAATTGCTGTGCCTCCCTGAAGTTTTTGCTGCTCTGCTGCCTTTCAAGGGAAAGTTTTCCATGTGTTTCTAATTCTTGAGTACAATTGAATTACCAGTCCATTGTCYGGTGAGAGCTGTTTGGTCAGGGAGCCCTGTGGGCTTCTCAGAAGCTTTTATCCTTTGAAAGAAGCTGTCCTGATTTGCCATTGTTAATGAAACTTGTATGACACAATGCTTGAGTTTAAGGCCCACTGAGAACATGACCGTGTTCTTCCTTTCATCTCKACATGGGGGAACCACATGGCAAATAGAAGCTGCAGAAACCCAGCAGCAGTGTTGTTCCCCTAGTGGTAGTAATTGTCCTGAACTTTCTTATGTCATATCCTAATAGCTTTGTCTTCTGACTGATGGCCTATACAGCTTCCACCCTTCATGAATAAATACAAAATGTTTTGCCACCCAGAAGGTGAACCCTTTGTAGKCCTGTATCTCTTTTGAGCATGCATCCTTAGGATCCCACATGATTACATTTTAATATTCTGTCCCTGTGCAAGGCTTAGCTTGAAGATTGCTAACTATGCAGTTATTGCAATGTATATATATATTTTAAACTCTGCTAAGTGCTTTTATGTATTAGTTCCTGACTAATACATTTGATGAGTCAAGGGGCTCACCTCCTTGGCTGAGGCTTTCTGGGAAATCCACGGAGTTATCCCACATATTAAGATATTTTCGATTAGGGTAGATATTTCCAAAGGAATGGGTTTATTTTGAATCCCAAAGTTAAAGCAGAAATTGGTATTTAAAAAAAGAGAATGATTGAAGAGAGGTGCCAAATGGACCTAAGGGGGATTTTAATGGCAATCTACAGGGTAGAGAAAGCCAAAACTTTTTTTTTCTCCCATCAGTAAGATTCAGAGAATGCTTCCAGAATAAGTATATTTATTTATAAGTTATGTATATGTACTATTATGCTTATACATTATTAGCATGCAAAAGACACAGAAAATTGAAATAATAAAGAATTGAAAATTAGCACAAGATTTAATATTTTATTCCTATATGCAAATGATTCTCTTTTGCATCCTCTGGTGAATGCACACTCCATTTAAGAGGACACWCTTCTCAAATACCAAAGTAGCGGCATGGAGTAGTATAATGGTTCTCAAATTTTAGGTTGTGTCAGAATTTCCTGGAAGCTTATGAAAACAGTTTTCTGTCTCTGCCTCAAAGTTTCTAATTCAATAGGGAAGGGGCTCAAGAACTTGCATTTCTAACAAATTCCCAGGTGATGTGTCCTGAGGACTAAATCTTGAGAACCACTGTGTAGTTAAGAGTTTGGTCTCAAAGTCAGTTTCCTAAGTTGGACAGAGAGCAGCATTCTTGAAAAAAATATGTGGCCTTGGGAAAATTATTTTCTCTCTGCATTTTTTTTAATCTGTAGAATGAAGGCAATCATAATTATACTCCTCTTAGAGTCACTAGAGATCTTAATGAGGTAATGTAGATAAATTGCATAGCACTCAGTGCAGATCACCTACAAAACAACAAGCTGCRTTAGGTTCTCTCTCCTCCTTTTCCTCCTCCTCATTATCACTATCATCATCATGAACACCTTTCTAATGCCACTAAGTAGAGTTAGGGACTTTGAGTTGCAGGATAAAAATGTTGTGCCTTTTTTCACTACAATTATGAAARTGCATTTTTCCACCTCAGCATTATGCATAAAGACCATGCTCTAAGAGAGACATCTTTTGAGTTGAATGGTAGAGATGAAGCTCTTTTGCAAAGTCTGCCTAATGGAGAACAGTGTGTTCAGCCCTCTCCCTTCTATGTGTAATTGTTGATAGTTTGTGGCTAAGTGTGTATTTCTGTCATCTTTCGTATATACCAAATTCTTGTTGCATGTAATTCAGTTGACAATTTTGGTGGTTGTGATTTTGAATGTTTGGGGGGCATGAGAATGGTAAGTTCAGGTGAGTTCTTTGGAATTTGACTAATGTTTAATGTTGCTTCTCTCTCTTCTCCCTTCTTCCTCTTCTTGTTCGTTGCTAGGACCCAGTACCACCTGCCAGGAAGATTCCTGTGCCAACCAGGGGGTTTGCATGCAGCAGTGGGAAGGCTTCACCTGCGACTGCTCCATGACGTCCTATTCTGGAAACCAGTGCAATGATCGTGAGTACAATCTTTTCTTACTGGGAAATTTTTCAAGAGGTTCAGAGGTTTGGAGAAACCTTAAGAGACAATGCATAAAGAAATAGCTTTGCTAAAGGACTCATAAATAATTCTCTCCTCTAGAAACGTGGAAAACGAACAACAACTGTTCTCATGGGAAGAGCAAGGGAGACATTTCTTGCTCAATGCTGGCTGTTCTCCTGTATTCTTCCCCTCTGCTTTTCCTTTAGGTTTCAATACTTGTGACTGAGAAGCAAAGGAACAATTAAGGGCATATGGTTATGTAAGGGGTTCAAATCTCCATGAATTAAGTCATCTGGATAACATTTTTGAGACCCTCTCCATTTGCATTGCCTAGAATTTGGAGGATATTTAAGAATGATAGTTGTTTTCTCAAAAATTCTTAAGTTAGAGGACTTCTTAAGGCCTCCTAAATGAAGAAGACTTACAGAGTTTTTTTTTTTCTATTTAGAAACTTTTGTAGCATTTTGGGAGTGTCTTTCAAATGTTAAGACAGAAATTTCTACTAGCTAAACTTATTGGTATCTTTGTTTATATATACATCACTATTCTGTTTGTATTTCTATTTGTGAGTGTGTTCCAGGTATTTACCTGTGTTTTTGTGGAAGAGAGTCTGGTGATGATTATTCTTGCACATTAGTGATGCTTTGGGTGCATCTGTTGATTTAGTCTTGAGAGGATTGATTTCATGGGGGTGATTCTAGCTCTGATGATGGAGAGACTTCAGTGCTGTGGGAATCTATAACCTGAGTCTCTATTTCCTTCTCACATTATTTTCCTATCATGGTTATTTTAAAGACAAGCAAACACAATTTGTTGAAGACTCCTGGGTCCTGCTGATTTTCTAAATGCAGACGTCATGGTAGATATTTTGTCTTTCATTCCAAACTCATTTGACTTCTTCATTTTGTAAAAAGGCTGCATGATGTTATTAGAGCAAGTAAGGAAGTTAGAGAATAGTGTGTCCACATGGGAGCAAGTGCCAATTACAATGCGATGTCTCTCATGTGTATTTTTTTCCCTTGATCTTTAATTCTCAACTTTTTTTTTGTATGTGTGTAGGTGTCTCTTGTAGTTCTAGTTTCCATTTTCCTCAGTAGTTTTTCACTCCATATGTTCTTTCATTCTCTTAAGATACATTAAAAAGAAACAAATGGGGAAACTGGCAGTCTAGAAAGAAAACTATGTGATAYCCATTCATCTAAATATAAGCATATGCCTCCATATCTGTCATGCAAATGGTACAATGCCCGCAGAAGGGGTTGGCATCAGATTGCTCTTGCCAAGTAGCTTGGTGTTACTGAAAATCTCGTTTCCATATTTATGACTCAGAAATACTGTTCCACTCTGAAACAGGCAATTATGGACCAATCCAGGTTACCCGGGGACTCATGCTATATGCTCTTTCCTTTCCCTCCAATTTGTCTGCATGAGACTTGCTAGGAAGGCATTTTCCCTCTAACTGGTGACATAATACTTCTTTATCCTCACAAGGTTGTTCCTTATCACACATACACCCCATTGTGGGTAAAAAAAAATGGTCAGGAAGAGACTCTGCACACACAAAAAAGCAGAAAGGTAAGTCACCAACTGCAGTAAATGTGCACAATCTTCAGAAGGTAAGTATGTATTTTTCTATTATCGACAAGCTCCTCTGTCACTCAGAACCAGGTGTTTTCWGGTAAAATTCGACCAGTGTTCTTCCCAGCTTTCAGTGATGACTTCTGATTTTTGTCAAGAGCAGATTGTGTYTCCATTGAGGATGTGGACTACTGCATTATCTGACTCTGGCAATTTTTTGGTATAAAATGAAGTTCTTGGATGAGGATTGGAAAAATGTCAGCTTTCCWTTGTGACACTAGCTTCTCATGCTTCAAAAATATCAGATATCCAGGCTTAGAGCAATGCATTTTGGACTTTATTCTCTAAGCAATGTAGACAGGTCTTCTGTTTTGTAACAGCACAAAATGCTATCAGAATCTGCTTACTTGATCCTCTCCTGGAGAGTATGCCAGGGCTTCTGTTATTGGATGGTGATCACTGAAATGAAGGAAGTACATTTTAATTTCTAGAATGTAATAAATTTATAGAATTCAGATATGTAGGAAGTGACTATCAAGTTAAGATATGAATTTTTAACAAAAATCAACTARATATACTTAAATGATAGGCTATTTAAAATTGTTACAATGGCTGGTCCCTATATATGATTGGCATTCAAGGTATTTGGAGGGAGCTTCTCCTTGGGAACTAGCATCAAAGCCACTTCATTCCACATAGAATATCAGTCTCACTACTTTACATCATAGATTATTATTTTCTATATTGACCTTTAGCATTGTAATTTGATATTTCATCTCACACATATCTTCAAAATAAAGTTACTTCTCTAATATTCTGTGCATTCAACTATACTAATAAGTTCTTGGTAGTTTAGTCTGCATAAGGGATCAAGTATTAATCTTCAGCATCACTAGCAGAGTTGAACAGGCTCATGCTTAGCATTAGAAAAAGCATAAGGGTAATTATATATAAAGGAGAAGGGATGAAATCAGTTCATGGAAGGGAACAGGGAGCAAGGAGAAAGGATCCTCAATAGAGAGGGTCAGGGACTGACTCTTATGTGGAAGTAGTGCCATAGAGCCCACTAATGATTGCTTTGATACCCTACATGCCTTAAGTGGCTTTCCTTTTACTAAGTAACACACGYACGTCATGACATAGTAAGCAGAATGCCATCAATGGAATCTAGTCTTGACTTCATTCTTGAAAAGAAATATTTGGAGAACATTGCATATATMTAAAATAAGAAGGATTTCATAAAATGTCATAAGACCATCTGAATTGGTTAAGATGAAATCTAATGGCAAAGACATTTTTTTGGAAAAAAAAAGTTTTGAATCTCTCATTATCTATGAAGCCATTTCTCAGGGAAGCAGACTGACTCTCAAATAAAGGAAATGAAAACATGTCAGTTTATTACCGCGCATCCAAGAATAGAAACTTGTCCAATAGGGGAATGACTAGGTTTTGTATTTTCAGAATAGCTATTTATTTCATCATGTGTAAAAAAAAATGTTAATTGCACCTGGTGTAACTTGTAAGACTCTGAAGAAGTGCGTGGGCATTTTAGAGTCTCCCTCACTTACTCTGGTGTTGGTTTGATCACTCGTGACTTTTGCTTTTTTCTTGCTTATCAAAGCTAGAGTTTGCTTGATAATTTTAAGATGCTATCCCATAGATGGTGTCTCCAGAAGAAGCAGGTATCTTTTAAGACTTCATTTCGTTTAGTATGAGTAAGCCACAGATGACTTTCTCTTCATTCCATTTTATTCTATCATTCTTTGTGTGAGTAGGTTGGGTTGATGGATTCTGCCAGGTGGATTTCAAGTTCACCCTTATGAAGCTGTGATGGTTTGGAAGGTGTGACACATATTCTCGGGAGCCAATCACTTTGTGTAACAGTGACTCACTTGTGTGGGTTAGAAAATAAATATCATCTGATGCGAAACCTAAGTATAATTGACTTACTAATAGCTTTACATATTTTAGATATGATTGTCCACCCTTTTATGTAATGGTAAAATCATGAGGAGTTTCTTTTTYGTGAGGTTAACTTTTAGGGGTGTCTTGATACTACCATGGACTTCATCATCCCAGAGGAAATTTTGAGTTAACATAGGTCCCAATAACATCTATGGAAGGACACGTAAGTTACATTCTCCAATGGTAATTTTCAGTTCTTCTGAAAAATTCAAAACAAAGGGTCTAGCTTCTCCGTGGGTGAGCACTACCTGAAAGCCAACCTAATGGTGTGTGTGTGGGGGGGGCTAACTTTGAAGAACAACAAAACAAATGGAACTTTATAAGAGTTATTATGAGGATATTCTTTCTGGATATCAGATTCTTATTGGTATTTTAAACCGGGACTGAGAACTGTAGAAATTCCATATTATGGTACCCACCATCAGAAGAAGCCAGAATCTCTTCTCCATGCTGTGCAACAATGCCACTCTCACTGGCAGCCTGTTGTTGAGTTCTTCTTTCCACAGTATTGAAAAGTATTGCACAAAATCCTTCTGTGCTGCATGCATCCACACATACCCAAAGTGTTATCCCTTTTTAGGGACTTTCTGAAAATATGAGTTTTAAACAACACATAATGATCCAATAAGAGAGCTTATCCTAAACTATTCATGACAACGGCTCTGAGTTGCCTATAATTTGCTGATCTCATTATTGCTTTTGTGTTTGGGAGAAGCACATGTCTACAGGRATGGCCGATGGCACATGAATGCTTAACACATGTCAGGTTTCTGTGTTTATGAGTCCAGTGTTGATTTTGGCTTTGTTGAATGAGGATGAGGGAATATATGTGGGTCCTTGGACCACCATCAGCAGACAGCTATCCTGTGCTACCTTGCTAGTAGTGCATTGCAGGCTACATGTTGGAGAAATTGCTGGGCTCACACTGGCATGTGATAATAGATGTTCTTTGCTTGCAACAAATCAATAGCAAGCAGCTGTGGATTGTGCAGATAGTGGAGTGTGAAGCACCTTTTCAGACAGTTTTCTACTGGAGTGGCTGTTAAGCTGCACTGTTGGCTATTGATTGGCCTTTTTCTTTTTATTTATTGTGTGGGTTTATTTATTTTCTTAATGTAGGTTGGCGTATTGATTAAATCTGTTAAAAACACACTTCCCATTCAGGCTTCAGAAAAAAAAATAAGCAAGATATGCATTACTTAGTGTACAAATGAGGAGGCAGATGTATGTATGCTAATTCTGTCTCTTGGTTCCATATATGAAGAAAAGCATTCTGCTATTATAATATGTTCACATTTTGGGTCAATTATTTATTCCTCACCTCTGTTTTCAGGTTCTGTTCATCCAGCAAACAGGTGCTATTTGAGTTGACTTGTAAGGTAGTTGTTTGTGGCTGAGAACATCCTCTATTATTTATTCACTCACTAGATATT